ACGAACAGGCAGCCAGAGTGAGTGCAGGACTCAGGGGTAGCTCCCATCTGCGGAGCCGACCCCAGGAATTCACGTGGCCTCAGAGAGCCTCAGTCACTTCAGCAGAAAGGCAGGAGGAAAAAGAACCCTTGCCTGGAGCAGGCAGGTGTGTGTGGTGCAGCTGCCATACCTGCTTTCCTGCCCGCGCTGGGGCTCCGGGCAGAGGAGGCACCGCGAGGCCAGCCTGAGGTCAGAGTTCTCTAGATGCACCTTGGCAAGGAGAATTAATTCTTTACTTTTTGCCATAGGGCACGGGCACTTGCCAGAGAGAGACAGAAAGATAAAGAAAGAGGGAGAGAAAGTGAGAAATCATTCTCCAGGGGAGATGGCCAGACCACAACCCCTTCCCTTCCAGGCTCTTGAGATTTGGGGCACACGTGCACCCGCGCCCCAGGTCTGGACAAACTGTAAGTCGGCCCTACGCGAGCCAGCACCGTAACCTCCGCGCCACCTGCTGGCCCAAGGACAGACTTCATACAGCACCCTAACGCTGCAGGTAGGGTGGGCATGGGAAGACCACCGGCTGGCTGGGCCAGGACAAGGCAGCCTGTGTGTCAGGAACCGCTGGGTAGTGGTCACTACCTTGGGACATGAGGGGGCTCATCTCACAGAACACAGAGGAGCAGGGATCTCCAGGCACCCCAGGACCCCTCCGCGGCCATCCCAGGTCACCTGCCTGCCTCCCTGCACCTACCCCAAGGACCCTTTTTTTTTAAAAATTATTTTGAATTTTATTTATTCATTTACCTATTTTATTTTGACCAGAGAGAGACACACAGAGAGAGAGAAAGTGAGAAAGCAAGCCACCAGGTCCAGGACTTGAACCATGGTCAGCCTGGGGGGAGTGTCCAGTGCCCTTACCCACCACGCCACCTGCCAGCCCAATCTTTCTTTATACATTTTACCATCTGGTTATTATCTATGAGAAAGCTTAGGATTTGGGTCCAAATTGCATTGAATCTGTGGATCAGAATTTCTTTCTAAACGCTTGGGTGCTCTTTCAGGATAGCTCCTCCCCCCACCTGCAGTCAGCTTCCATCGGGCAGAGGGAGCCCCAGTAGGAGCCTTGCTCCTCCTCCGGGCTGGACCGTCCCCCTCAGCCGGCTGTCTCTGGACAGCTCATGGGGCCTCATGCCTCACCCCAAGGCTGAGGCTTGCCCCCCACCCACCACCCCAGATAAGAAGCCGTGTGCTGGGAGGCTGGCCTGCAGGAAGGGCCTCCGATCAGCTGCCACTTCCTCCCATGGGGTGTCAGGGTTTGGCCGTCACTGCTGCCCTTGTGGGACGACTAGAGGGTGGGTGGGCAGAGAGGGGAGGTCCTGCCACCCTCTGGCAGAGGGGAGGGGCGTATGTCTCAAGTCCTGAGGAAGCCCCAACCTGGCAGGCCTGCCTCCCTCCTTCCGCAGGGACCAGTGTCTGAACCTGCTGGTGTGGTCGGCCACCCTTGGGCAGTGGTGCACCTCGTGCAGCCACTACGGAGGAAATGAGGCCAACGGCCTGCCTTCCTTGGGGCTGGGAAACCCGTTCCTCGGCCCAGCACATGAGACTCCCTCTTGTGGAGAGAGGTGCCACCCCCAAGGCCCTGCCGTGGCCCTTGAATCTGGCAATGCCAGCCTTTTCTCTTGTGCAGATTGGGACTGAGGAGTGGTGTCTACACTCCAGGGTGTGTCTCGGGTCTATGACATGGGTCTGATCTGGCACACATTGCTCCACTCCAGTGGTGACAGCGGGGGCGGCCCCCGCCCATGCTTTCCTGGGTTATCTCAGTCCTGCTCCAGATCCGGGGATGCCCCAGCCGTGGGCAGTGGGCATGGGCGAGGCCCTGTGACGCCGTGTGTCTGTGTGCTGCCACCACCCTGGTTCTCCTGGCCCTGCTTCTTGGGATAGGCCCAGGAATGCAGGACAGCCAATCAGGAGCGAGCTGGTCTTTGGAACATACCAAAGCCAGCTCACCGTGTGACAGGCACGGCAGGGCCCTCTGGGGGTGGGTGTGCAGGTCCTCCCTGTGTGGTGGAGTCACACGACCTCGCGTGTGCGCTTCTGAAGCCCTTCTCGCGAGGTGGCCCCATCCTGGACTCGGCGTGGTCTGCATTTCCAGGTGAAAGGAA